AATATTTATATATATATATATATATATATATATATATATATATTGCACATATATGTATATTGTGTCCAGCAATTATATTGTAAAATGTTGAAAACAGATATTTGAAAAACGTTACTTGTGCAAGGAGAACGTTTTAAATTTGTCGAAAAAAAAAAGAATTTTGACTGGTTATGTATATATGCATGTATGTGTGTGTGTATATATATATATATATATATATATATATATATATATACATATACATATATGTATATACGGTATATAAAAATGCGCGCATCGAACTTGACACTGTTGACTAACAAGATATAAATTGCAAAATATCTTTTTCATTTTTTTCTTCTCGTTGGGACTGAATGCTTAAAAGCAGCATAGCGATTTTACGTAATCGGATGATATAACGGTGGTGATTTACGATGCTCGGATTTATTATTGCACCACCACGCATATTTATAACTTCGTTTCTCACTTTACTATATACACAACATATGCAACAACTATCATTATTGGTCTTTTACTGTTATTACCATTGCGGAACAATTATTATTGTTACTACTGTGAAATTGCAGAAGTCTACGAGAAGAAAATATAATTTTAATTAGGAATCATTGATAATTCGGCAATTACGTACATTTCATTTTTTGTAGTGAAGAGCGTGACGTAGAATTTCGTTGGTCTTATCTATGCTCCGATTATTTGTACGTTTAATGGTATTAACATGTTATATTAAAATAGATTAGTTGGTGAATTGTTGATTCCTGAGTTCTACCTTGTACTCCGTTCAGTGCGCAGGTCTTTCTGTGTTCTGTTTAATTATTTTGAATTGGATATACAATTGAAGTTACATAGTTGCATTTTCCGTATTTGCAATTTTTCGTCCACACGGATACAAACTGATACACGCAGCGCTCTTCTACTATCGTGCATACCATTTGAATAATAATAATGGTGAAAACTCCAGGAGGTCTTAATTTACACTGGCTTGTGATTGGTTCAATAACGGGGCCGTTGAATGTGGAAGGGGCATTTTATCGTTGGGAGTTTCTAATATTGCGACTATGGAACTTTGAGTGCACTCAAGTTTTTTGTAAATTGTAGCAACAAATGGATTCGACGGTTCGATGGCTTAAGGAAGGATTTCTGGAGTACGTTTAGAAACCTCTTTAGAGTCGACTGTAGTATCATTCTATGCTCTTCATAATAACAATAATAAAGAGAGACGCAACGTGCCCGAATTGTCTTAAGTAAGTTTCTGAACGCATCCCTGGAATATAGGCAGGTGCAAAATACAAATAGACTAGGTATAGCCACGATGGTCTGGTTTGAACAGCCGTATCCTTCGAACGTACTCCGATTAGTTCTTGCTACTTTTTTTGAGTTGCTCTAATGGCTTAGTGATCGCATAGTGTATTTGTATTCATCATTTCATTTTATTATCGGTGTTAGTCATAAATATATCAGTATACAAAGATAAAATTCAACCAAGCTTGTTTCGATCGGATCTCTGTTCTTCGCTTCTGTATTTCAATCTAGTTTTGAATCAGTGGACGACTTCGGACGCGTGGAGATCATCACCTACGCAAGAAAGCCCTGGGGAAGTCCTTCGCGTTCTCCGGGGACTGGATATGCCTGCAGACTCCTAAACAGTACAGAAGCATGCTCATCAAATCGGGAAGAATCTGAATTCACCTTCTGTAGAGGAAAGGAAGCAGATCCTATTCAAACTCAGGGTGCCAATCACCAGAGTTACTTTCTACATGGTCTTGATTTCCTTGTTTTTGCGTATACAGGGTGTCCCATTTGAAACAAAGCACCTAAATATCTTCTAAGGCAGGCAAGTAAGAGAAAAATGTTTTAGACAAAAGTTGTAGGGTTTCGAGGGGGACATACGATCCATGCATTATTTTAAGCTTTCAACGTTATGCTTGCATGCTGCAAGCACAAGGAGCTTTTTTTAAAATGGCAACCGCACTTTTCACTCTAATAAAAGCTATTCCTCTTGTAGAGTTGTTTTGAGATACCTCATTTTCCATGTCATTCCCTCTAATTTAACGAAAAAAATACTATGAAAATGAGTTCCATACTCGAATTGGGTATTCAGACTTTATTAGCGTGACCCAGGATGCACCACGTGGAGGTTAAGTCTGCTTTGCATCCCTTGCGAAAAAAAAAGAAAAAAATAGCGCGAACATGTAATAGGGAAGTTTCTGAGAGTTTACAGGAGATGTTCAATGTTTCCACCATTTAACTTGCAGGCATAACTCAATCGGTAGTCCATTCAGAATATTTGATGGTTTTCGGTTTACTTTTAAAATTCATCACAAATTTTTAGTATTAGATAGCCCCCCTCCCACTTCGACTTTTCACATTTTTCTTTATACCAATCAATGGGTGGTCGTTTGGTGGTATTTGGTCAATATTAACTAATCGGTTTAAGGCTGCTGTCTAGCTGGTTTAGCTATATATATTGCGTGACGTCACAAGCGAGGAAACGTATTTTCCGTTATTCTCCTTCATTTCTAAATGATTCAGCAAAATCTTTGATGAGCCTGCTTCGTTATGCGATACGGCTGGCGGCTCTTCTCAATTTAGGTGCGAAAAATGTTTCAATTGTTAGAGAAATGTACGTAAAGAAATCGTGCATTTCTGGCCTGTCAAAACATCATGGGCGCCGCCATTACGACCGTTCACTAAATCCCATTTTTCTGCGATTCAGGACACTCATCACACTTAAATCGAGAAGAGCCGCCTTGCTATGGACGATACAAAGCGGGCTGATCTAATAATTTTGTCAATAACTGTTTGACAAACGCAAAAAACGGCAAATTAGATTCGGCCCGTATTTTACTATCTTGAGAATCCAATAGATGGCGCTAGCTGTTCCTCGCTGTAGATCTCAGTAACGTGAGCGATTTGCGGGGCCCGTAGCATAGTACCGTTGTGTCAAAACTACACACATGCATATATAGTATATGTGTGTAGCTAAGTTTGCTGGCGAAGAGCTAAGCCAGCCTAGACGCTTGGCTCGACTCGCTATATATATATATTCTTTACGCCACTTTCTTGTCAGCCGTCCACGAGGTAGCTATTTAAAAAGTAATAGTACTTACAGTTTTCAGAAAATGTTGGTATCAAGCTGAAAAAGTTGTATTTTATTTGTTATTAACAATTTAATTGTTTAAACGACGAACTTCGCTTGATAAGATTATATTTTATGCTTTTCAATGTAAGAACATTTAACGCCTAATACGAGATTCGTATCATTAGTCAGTCACTCGTTAGTCGTTTAGACAATTAAATTGTGAATAACAAATTAAATATAACTTTTTCAGCTTAGTACCAAAACTTTCTACAATCTGTATGCATTATATTATTATTTTTTTAACAATTAGCATAGACTATCGCAAAGACTAATATTGCAAACGTAACGGAATATTAGAATATTTTTTACAAGAAGAGTCTCCAACAATCGGATTTTTGTAATCTTTTTTACTCATGGTACGTGAAGTTGAGAATTCGAATAGTAATTTCCCAAAGCAGGTCTATGTCATATTCAAAAATTCTCAAGAAAGTTAACTTTGAAGTTTTGTGAGTCCGTTATATGTACATCAAATGTGTCAGAATATTTAAGCAGGCCGTTTAACGCACCCGGTAACGCTCGAGCTTACCGAGCGCGGGGTCGCTGGTTCGAGTCTCACTTGTAGCTTTCTTTTTTCCACCCAATTCGCATAATTACGTCATTTAAATATAAAAATCACCAAATCTATACCAATTCACAGATATATAATTCCAATCTTCAATGAAAATCGCACGTTTTATTTTTAATTATCTCGAGCTTCAAAAATTGTACTTTTGAATGTAAATATCAGTGTTTAGCTACCAGTAACTATAACGAACAAGATTTTTAGAGCGGAAATGAAAAATGATGAAATTCTCTTTACTATAAAAGCAACATGATAAGAAAAGTAATGGAGTCGAAGTACTGAACGCGCACAATATAATAAAAAAAAAATTTCTTGACAATTTTGTGAGGTGTCTGGCACCCTTTGCGAAGGAACCCCCAAATATTGCAGCCATGACGCCCCTGTCAGAGCTTCGTACTTTCGCCACCAGTCAACGCTCGAGTCAACACCGAAATTTTTTCCAGACAGATAGCAGCGGTAAAACTGCAGTATACGACTCCGAACTGAAGTTGGCCGCTAGTGACTTAGGTTTTTTGAGGTATCGCCATCTGCCGGATATAATGTGAATCGTATGGAATAGTCACGCCGCCTATTAGAAAATAAATTAACCATAACCGACAGAAATAGTACCAGTCGACCGTCGTGTGCGGGGAACATTGAAATTCCTACTGAGCCTGAATCTGGTGTACTTATGAATTCAAAAATATGTCAATTGTAAAATTTCGATTATTGATAACTTCGATCTGCCAAAAAACGAACCAGTTCTCACTGATCTCGTTGTTTTGCAACTGCGACATTGCCAACGATATTTGTCCGAAAGAAATTCAGCAGTGCATAGAATCATGTCCTTATCGCACACTGGACACTTGAAAGTCCGAACTATGAGTCCGTATCTTTGTGCAAAGGTGATTACCTCAATAGAAGGTTTCTCACCTAGTTTGAATAAATCTATGAACCGTATCACCATTGCAATCGATCACACACAAACCAATTTAAGCAAAAGAAATAATAGCACACTTGTGTTACACGCTTTGCGAGCTACTAACGAAAATCAGGCTTATACATGTTTTACAAAAGCAGACGATACATTGTAGCAAAAAAATCACGAAGCAGTAGATCAAATTTAATGCTCAATGTACAATCACGAGCTTGCACTTATACATACTTATATTTTTAAATAATATTATTTATAAATTAAATATACACATATTTAATATAAAAATATGTAATAATATCTTCATATCAAAATATATGTATACATAATAGGTGCAAACCTGTGTGGCGTAGCACGAAAATTAAACGAAAAAAACTCCAAACATGGAATATTGCGATTACTAGATCATATTTTGTGAAAATATATTTTTATAACAAGATAATATATATGATAACAGTAAAAATATACTCATTTCAAATTTTTAAAGATAGTTGCGCTTTTTTCCGATCAGGAGGCGCCACTATTCTATGCGATTCGCATTACATTTGATAGATCGCGCTACGTTAAAAATCTAAGTCACTAGCAGCCATCTTCAGTTCGGAGTCGTATACTGCAGTTTACCCATAGCAGCCTTAAGACGGTCGTTTAAACGTAGTCGATGCTTCCACCATTCAGGGTTGAAATAGAGTTAATCAATCAAGTTAGCTTATTCCGCTCAAATCTCGTTTTTAATTGGTTAACTCTATTTCAATCCTATACGGTTAACATATGCATAGTTGTATGTATGTACATGCATATCGGGTTATATTTCATCCTATTGAATGCAGGCAAGGAAAGACACCAGGATATTCGTAAATACTGAGGGTACATTCCGAAATTCACTGTCAGTACTACAAGTATTGTCGTGGTCCCTATTTACCTATACGCAATACAATGAGACACTAACATGTTCGCAATACTGGCAGTGAATTTCGGAACGTACCTTGAAAGCTGTCGACTTATATCTCTGTTTACATAGGAAGTATTAACATCAATTAGCTTGACTGCGTCTTATGGAAATAAAATGAGAGGGATGATCTATAATACATTTGGTATTAACTAGGGTAGAGAATAAGACACAATAATGCTTGCAGTACTTGTGGCGAATTTCGGAACGTACTCTGAATGCTGCTAGAATGGCTTGCTCAAGTCCGTAGACATGTATAGTGCTCCTAGAGCGGAAACAATAATTCTGATTGGCTTCTAATCCAGATACATGACAAACGTCTACGCCATGTTCCATTGTATGTATATACATGAACCCTTATTCTTTCTTTGATGAAAAAATGAATAAAACGAACACATGCATTGTTAAGAATAGTTCAGTCCACCAGTAAAGTGACGAAAACTATAGATATGTTCGAAAATGAGCCGAGAGCCCTGAGAGCATTTTGTATCTCATTCAGATATATTCAATAAATAAAGATATGTATCTATAGTAAATTGGAGCACGTAAAAACATTTGCAGAAATAGACCGTAGAACTTGAATACACTTGTTAAACGAAAAGAGACAGGCCGAGTAGCTAGCCTGAAATTTAAAACCTTGAAAAAGATACAAACGTTTACGGACAGCATACCATTGAAACAGCTTTCAAGGTACGTTCCGAAATTCACTGACAGTATTGCGTACATGTTAGTGTCTCGCTCTATTGCGTATAGGTAAATAGGGACCACGACAATACTTGTAGCACTGACAGTGAATTTCGGAACGTACCCCCAGTATTTACGGATATCATGGTGTCTTTCTTTACCTGCATTCAATAAGACGAAATATAACCCGATATGTACATACAACTATGCATATGTTTCTACCCTGTAGGATTGAAATACAGTTAACCAATTAAAAACGAGATTTAAGCGAAATAAGCTAACTGATTGGTTAACTCTATTTCAATCCTGCATGGTGGAAACATTGACTACGTTTAAACGACGGTCTTAAACCGATTAGTTAATACTGACCAAATACCACCAAACGACCACCAATCGATTGATAAAAAAAAATGTCCAAAGTCAAAATGTGGGGGGCAGGGGCTAACTTTGCGGAGGTTCCGTGCGCCCCTATTCGAAGGTAACCCGACGAGCGCACAGTTGTCTCACTCACTTCTTGGATGAGATTGTTCTTTTTGAATTGAACTGCGTACCTATGTGGTGTACATTCCCTGCGAAAATATTGTTCTGCCGACATATCACTGCCAGACGTGGGACGATGGAACGAGCACTGAAATACAAGTATATGTAAATCCTATCTAGGCTCCATGATATAAATATCGAAGCCTTATAAAAACGACAAAAAATATTTAGCGGTTTTCGAAATAAAATAAATGTGCCACTATTTCAGTTTACGTTGGGTTGTTCCTCCTCGTGCGCACTGCTTTATCCCCATCGACATACAGTACTGGACTGCTCACTGTAGCTGCAGAAAGTGTAATCGAGAATAGAAAGAGAGAGCAAATCGTAAGGACCGTGTTGTTCTTTTCTATCATTTTTCTATTGGTCGAAAGGTTTCTGGATGGAAGAGGTTCAGGACTGTAATATGCAAAATAAGAACCATGTGAAAGATTACTCCGCACATCTAGAATGTACGTTGTTGTCCATGTTAGTCGAATCTTGGAGACAGAAGCCTCCGTAAATCGAATTGATCGGTCAAATTTCAATTGTGATTACTTTATGCTAGTTAAGTTTATAAAAATTGAATATTACAAAATGGTGTTTCGTTGTGTTATGTGTGGGCTATCGCGAGACATATATTTTAAGGCAAATACGATAAGCTTTCACAAGTAAGTGAAGTAGAAATATAATCTTAAATTTTATGGTTAACATGGACACTGGAGTATTATAGTCTTTATAATCTATTGTATAGTACACAGTAAACCTGCAAAACAAAAATCATTAAACATAATAAAATATTTTATTTTCGTTTATAAAAGTTTAAAATGAATTGTAATGTATTTACTATTGATTTTTAGATTCCCAATCGACAGGGTGAGAAGGGAAAAATGGTATTCTGCAATGGGACTGCGATACGTATCACACATCACTTGACTAAAATGATCTTGTTTCATAATTAATAATAATTCAAATTTAAGATTATTACATTTATTCATACATTTATATATTAATACAATTGAGTGCATAATAACAGAAAAATAAACCAATTCTTAAATTTAAAAAATATAAAACTTTTATGATGAGACATTTTACTGCGCGGGGTTCCCTTATTCCTAAATCCGCTCCTGCCCAAGAGAAGGACAGCACGGTCTTTACGATTTGCTCATTCTTTCTATTCTCGATTACACTTTCTGCAGCTACAGTGAGCAGTCCAATACTATATATCAATGTTTATCCCAGTTTAACTTTTTCAAAGACTGTACAGTGTGTGATAGAGAGGCTGCTACACTGATCTATGTCCTTGCTATCTCTCTCTGCGCCCCCCCCCCCCCC